TTTATTTCTCCTTCACTTATGAAACTTAGTTTGGCTGGATATGAAATTCTGGGTTTAAAATTCTTTTCTTTAAGAATGTTGAATATTGGCCCCCACTCTCTTCTGGCTTGGAGAGTTTCTGCCGAGAGATCTGCTGTTAGTCTGATGGGCTTCCATTTGTGGGTAACCCGACCTTTCTCTCTGGCTGCCCTTAAGATTTTTTCCTTCATTTCAACTTTGGTGAATCTGGCAATTATGTGTCTTGGAGTTGCTCTTCTCGAGGAGTATCTTTGTGGCGTTCTCTGTATTTCCTGGATTTGAATGTTGGCCTGCCCTACTAGGTTGAGGAAGTTCTCCTGGATGATATACTGAAGAGTGTTTTCCAACTTGGTTCCATTTTCCCCCTCACTTTCAGGCACCCCAATCAGACGTAGATTTGGTCTTTTTACATAATCCCATACTTCTTGCAGGCTTTGTTCATTTCTTTTTCTTCTTTGTTCTTTTGGTTTCTCTTCTCGCTTCATTTCATTCATTTGATCCTCAATCGCAGATACTCTTTCTTCCAGTTGATCGAGTCGGTTACTGAAGCTTGTGCATTTGTCACGTATTTCTCGTGTCATGGTTTTCATCTCTTTCATTTCATTTATGACCTTCTCTGCATTAATTACTCTAGCCATCAATTCTTCCACTTTTTTTTCAAGATTTTTAGTTTCTTTGTGCTGGGTACGTAATTCCTCCTTTAGCTCTGAGAAATTTGATGGACTGAAGCCTTCTTCTCTCATCTCGTCAAAGTCATTCTCTGTCCAGCTTTGATCCGTTGCTGGCGATGAGCTGCGCTCCTTTGCCGGGGGAGATGCGCTCTTATTTTTTGAATTTCCAGCTTTTCTGCCCTGCTTTTTCCCCATCTTTGTGGTTTTTTCTGCCTCTGGTCTTGATGATGGTGATGTACTGATGGGGTTTTGGTGTAGGTGTCCTTCCTGTTTGATAGTTTTCCTTCTAACAGTCAGGACCCTCAGCTGTAGGTCTGTTGGAGATTGCTTGAGGTCCACTCCAGACCCTGTTTGCCTGGGTATCAGCAGCAGAGGCTGCAGAAGGTAGAATATTTCTGAACAGCGAGTGTACCTGTCTGATTCTTGCTTTGGAAGCTTCCTCTCAGGGGTGTACTCCACCCTGTGAGGTGTGGGGTGTCAGACTGCCCCTAGTGGGGGATGTCTCCCAGTTAGGCTACTCAGGGGTCAGGGACCCACTTGAGCAGGGAGTCTGTCCCTTCTCAGATCTCAACCTCTGTGTTGGGAGATCCACTGCTCTCTTCAAAGCTGTCAGACAGAGTCGTTTGCATCTGCAGAGGTTTCTGCTGCTTTTGTTGTTTACTGTGCCCTGTCCCCAGAGGTGGAGTCTACAGAGACAGGCAGGTTTCCTTGAGCTGCTGTGAGCTCCACCCAGTTCGAGCTTCCCAGCAGCTTTGTTTACCTACTTAAGCCTCAGCAATGGCGGGCGCCCCTCCCCCAGCCACGCTGCTGCCTTGCCGGTAGATCACAGACTGCTGTGCTAGCAATGAGGGAGGCTCCGTGGGTGTGGGACCCTCCCGGCCAGGTGTGGGATATAATCTCCTGGTGTGCCTGTTTGCTTAAAGCGCAGTATTGGGGTGGGAGTTACCCGATTTTCCAGGTGTTGTATGTCTCAGTTCCCCTGGCTAGGAAAAGGGATTCCCTTCCCCCTTGCACTTCCCAGGTGAGGCAATGCCTTGCCCTGCTTCAGCTCTCGCTGGTCGGGCTGCAGCAGCTGACCAGCACTGATCGTCCGGCACTCCCCAGTGAGATGAACCCAGTACCTCAGTTGAAAATGCAGAAATCACTGGTCTTCTGTGTCGCTCGCGCTGGGAGTTGGAGACTGGAGCTGTTCCTATTCGGCCATCTTGCTCCGCCCCCCCCCCCCCACCCCGATGATAAGCCCAAATGGTGAATATTCTTAAACCATTGTGTTCCCTGGTGGGCTGAGGGACTGTGACTGTATAAGGTGGCCTCAGCCAACTGCAGCAGCTGTTCCCTGTCAGAGGGGCAAGCAGTTTGGCAAGAGTGGTGGAAGAGGTGTAATGGTGTGTTCGTTCACAAGATGCAACAGGGAGAAGGTTTTGCCTCTTTGTACTTCATCTTGTCTCATCAAGTCCTCAGAAACCACAGTGCTGCCTGAAGGGTGCTGTGGAGCAGGCACAGCCCATACACACAACACGACTGAGTAGAAAGAACATACAGCTCTGGATATCCATGGGCCCCAGAGCATCTGCCCTTGAAACACTTAGTCCTTGTGAGCATTTGATGATTTACTTTCACGATCAAAGTCTGGCTTCCTGGGTTTGGCTCCAGCTGTAGCATAAGGCTGTTGATGTTTAATCAACTCTGTATTCTCCACACAGTTTTTATGACTGTCGACAGCCTGTGCTGGCTATCACAGATCCCAACATGATCAAAACAGTGCTAGTGAAAGAATGTTATTCTGTCTTCACAAACCGGAGGGTAAGCATCCAGTTTTTGAAATTAAAATACTCATTGATTGATTAAATTTTATTTTAAAATTCTTATATATTCATAGACATTTGCCTAAAAAATGTGCAGCAAGATTCCAGGTACACTTCATCCTACCCACTCCCCCAGTGCTGACATCTTGCAATCTTGCATAACTATAAATACAGCATATTCATGTTACGATAGTACAGGAAATTGACATTGATGCAGTTCACACAGGCTATTCAGATTTCACCAGTTTTATGTGCTCTCATTTCTGTGTGTAGTTTTTTGTTTTTGTTTTTTGGTTTTTTCTTTGTTTGCTTTTTGAGACAGAGTCTTGCTCTGTCACCCAGACTGGAGTGCAGTGGCATGGTCTTGGCTCACTGCAACCTCCACCTCCAGGGTTCAAGCATTCTTCTGCCTCCGCCTCCCAAGTAGCTGGGACTACAGGTGTGTACCACCACGCCCCGCTAATTTTTGTATTTTTAGTAGAGACGAGGTTTCACCATATTGGCCAGGCTGGTATTGAGTGCATGGGTAGTTCTACGTAAATTTATCACATTTGTAGATTTATGCAATGATCAGCATGATCAAGATGCAGACCCATTCCATCTCCATATAGCTCCCTGCTGCTATCGTACAGTCACAAGTCTTTTTCTCTGACAGGGTCTTTATCAGTGAAAATGTCTTTCTATTTTGAGGATGCCAATGTATTAATTTTTTTTATGGATTGTGCTTTTGGTGTCAAGTCTGAAAGTTCTTTGCCTAGCCCTCCTTCCTATATTGCCAATTTTTCTAAAAGTCATAAAATGTAATGCTTTACTAAATGTAACTCTATTATTTTGTGTTATTTTTGCATAAGGTATGAGATTTAGATCAAGGTTCATTTTTTGTGGCTTATGGCCATCCAGTTGTTCCAAAGCCATTTTTGGAAAGTTGGGCATATTGTTAAAAATCAATTGGGCATCTTTCTTTGCATTTGTCATTTGCTATTCTGTCCCACTGATCACTGTGTTTATTCTTCCACCAATAACAAACTGGTGACTCTACTAGCTGTACAGTAACTCTTAACATCATGTAGAGTGAATCTTCCCACTTTTATTGACTTATTTTTTCAGATTTATTTTAGCTCCTCCTGGTCCTCTGCTTTTCCATAAAAATTAAGAATGAGTTTCTCAGTGTCTACAAATAAACATGCTGTTATTTTGACAAGAATTGAATTGTGTATACATCAATTTAGGGAAAGTCTTTATACTATGGTCTTTCAATTCATGAACATAGCATGCGTCTCCAAGTCCTTAGATTTTCTGATTGTTTTTAACAATTTGTAGTTTTCAGCATAGAGATCCTGTACATGTTTTGTTAGATTTATAGCTAAAGTATTTCATTTTTGTTGGAGTGACTGTAAATACTATGTTTTTCTTGTGTTTTCAGATATTGATTGTTGGTACACAGAAACATGCTTGATTGTTGTTTGTTGATGTTGTATCCTAGAACCTTGCAGAACTTAGTATTTCTAGAAGTCTTTTTGTATATTCCTTGAGATTTTAGACACTGACAGTTATGTCTCTTGAAAATATACAATTCTTGTATTTCCTTTCCAATCTGTATGCCTTTTAATTCTTTTTCCTTGTCTATTGCACTAGGATTTCCCAGTATAAAGTCAAGTAAATGTGGTGAATTTTTTAATTGTTCCTAATATTAGGTAGGAAACATTTGGTCTTTCATGATTAAGCATGACTTAGATGAAGTGGGGTTTTTTTGTAGATTCCCTCTATCAAATTGAGGAACTTTCTCTCCCTAGTTTGCTGAATTTTTAACATAAAAGACTGCTGTAAGTACTCATTATAAAACAAAACATGGCTATGGAAGATGAAAGAAGGTTTCAAACATGCTGGCTTGATAGGCCAGTTCCAACTAGGCAAAAATAATTATCTCTTTCTCTTTTTTTCTATCCATGAAATAAAAAACTAAGAGAAAAGAATGTTCATAGAATTGCATTATTTCTTCAAAATATGTTTCTAGTTTCGAAACTATTACCTACCATTTTTTTAAAACCACCACATCGAGGCACCTCTTTTTCATGTTGCCCATGGTTTAGGTGAACATAAAGACAGAGCTCGTCTGAGGCAACATACAGTACACCAAAGCCACCTGCCTCTCTGTCACCACTCTCTCTCTACACTGCACAAGTGCTAGGTGTTGATCCTGACTATTCCACTGGAAGAACAGGTTCCCTACCATGTGGAGAATTTGTATGTAAAAGGAGACTGGGATATACAGGCTGGAGACCACATCAGGTGGCTGGGTCTCCCGAACACTGCCCCCACACACAAATACATCCCAGGACACTGGGCATCTTGGATAAATCTCTATTGAGCATCTAGCATAGGGCCTGTCACCTAGTAGACAGTCACTAAATATTTGTTAAATATGTGATGCCTGTTTAACATTTTCTACAACCATGGAGATCTCCACAACTGAAACAGGACAAAATGTTTCTGCTTTGAACTCTAGCCTTTAGGTCCAGTGGGATTTATGAAAAGTGCCATCACTGTAGCTGAGGATGAAGAATGGAAGAGAATACGGTCATTGCTCTCTCCAACTTTCACCAGTGGAAAACTCAAAGAGGTATGAAAATAACATTAGTTTTAATTAGAAACTTAAGAATGAATCAGGTGGGGACAGGTAGAAAGTAAGATCACAGTTTCTTTCCAAGGGGTAGTCTGCTGAATTTGAGTTTCCTAAAAATGGTCTTTTATCTTTATGTACAGAAAAGACATCACAAAATTCATTATAAAATGTCACTTACTGCTCCGTGCCGGGGAAAGCCATGTTCTTCTGGGACTAGAGTCTGCACATTTTACTACGGGTGGTGTTGTGTTTTGTGCTTAGATGGTCCCTATCATTGCCCAGTATGGAGACGTGCTGGTGAGAAATCTGAGGCGGGAAGCAGAGACAGGCAAGCCTGTCACCTTGAAGGAGTAAGTAGAAGCGCAGCCATGGGGTTCTGAGCTGTCATGAACCCCTCAAGCTGCCTGCCATGGAGTTGATATTCCCACTGTTGGGTTATTCCAGTCACCAGACAAAAGGAAGGTTGTGGTATTGCAACTTCAATGGGTCTCCCAAGATAGGCCCACTCCCAAGAGGAGGTGGGGTAGCTGGGGGAAAAAGGTCTTCTCCCATATGCACATGGACCAGGATTTACTTATCCATTAAATTGTCAACATGAATGTTCTGGAAGACTAAATGCATACTGTAGAGGGGGAAATGTGTGATTGCACCAAAGTTTTAAGCATGGCGTGTATGGGATGGTGGAAGGGGAAGGCACTTGGTATCTATTGGTTAGCAGTGAGTACGATGGGAAAGTTATAATGGAGAACTTTGAATAATTTTGACCCTTTCATGGTTTTTCTGAGGATATCAGTAGAATACTATATATTAAACATTCCCAACACTGCTTTTTTCTCCAGTCTTAAAGAGACAAGGTCCTATAAATGCTATAGGCAGGGTAAGCCTATCATTTGCTGTCTACATTGGTATGTGCTTCAATTATGCAGGAACAACAGGTGTAATCTGCGCCTGTCCTGGGCAGACCAGAGATATGTGGTCACTCAGCTATAGGAATTTCCAAATCAATTTTTAGTGATTTTCTTTAAACCAGGACATTGCTGGTCATTATATTTTACTAAAATGATTCTGCCAACAGGGCAATCTCAGCTCACAAGAACTGGGGATAGTGAGACTTTCCAAATCTTGAGCAGGGAGTGTAGAGAATAAGGACGATATTTCTGGGAGCTCAGAACAGGGTGTTGCTGTTTTGTGAAGTGCTGAAGAAGAATCAGCTCTGGGCATAGAGTCTGTAGTCATGCAATGTCACCTGTCTTGAGCCCCTTAGGAAAAGTGAATTTTTCTCCTCTTGTTCTGCTGAAGTACACTGCTTACACATCTTGTATCATCCACACTCAACACATGCTACTCCAGTTCTCTGATAGTGGGTCCCTGTCTTCCTATGATGGGCTCCTTGATCTCAGAGGTAAGTATAACTCAGTTCAGAGTCTCCATCACCCCCAGTGTAGGGCCAGCTGTGTCACTGGCACCCAATAACCACCATCTGATGGAGTGCGATGGGACATGATCCAGTAGATAGTTCTGAAAGTCTGTGGCTCTTTGTCTGTCTTTACTGGACATGTGGGTTTCCTGTTGCACATATAGTGGAAGGATGGTAAAGAGGTGCTGATTTTAATTTTCCACATCTTTCTCCACTCAGCGTCTTTGGGGCCTACAGCATGGATGTGATCACTAGCACATCATTTGGAGTGAACGTCGACTCTCTCAACAATCCACAAGACCCCTTTGTGGAAAACACCAAGAAGCTTTTAAGATTCAATTCATTAGATCCTTTCTTTCTCTCAATAAGTATGTGGACTACCATTTCCTTTTCTCTTTCTCTCTCTTAAAAATAACTGCTTTATTGATATGTAAATCACCATGTAATTCATCCACTTAAAATATACAGTTTAATGATTTGTAGTACATTTGAAGATATGTATGACCAGCACCATTGTAAACTTTAAAACATTTTTGTCAGTCTAGAGACCTCGTACATTTTTAGTTATCAACCCCCTGCCACAAACCCTGTCGTCATATGCAACCACTAATCAACACTCTGCCGCTATAGATTTGCCTATTCTGGATGCTTCATAGAAATGATATTCATTTGTTAGTTTTTTTTTTTTTAATTCTCTAGTTCATGAATTTGTACTTTAGTCTGTATTATTTTCTTTCTTCTGCTGGCTTCAGGCTTAGTTTGCCCTTCTTCATTTACTGTGTTGTGGCATGAATGTAGATTATTGATTTGTGACTTTTTGTTCTTGTAAATTTAGACATTACAACTATAAATTTTCTTCTGAGCACTTCTTTGCCAAATACCATCAGATTCTGGCCTATCACATCTTAATTTTTGTTCAGTTCTAAACACATTCTATTTGCCCTTTTAATTTCCACTTTGATTCATTGGTTACTTAAAAGTTTATTATTTAACTTTCACATATGTGTGAGTTTCCCAATTTTCTTTACTTTGATTTTAGCTTTATTCCATGATAGGTGACTGAGATACACTGTGTTATTTCTATCTTGACTACCTGCTATTTCTTGAACAGCATGATTAATTTAAACAGCAGGTTATGATTTGGGTTATCCTAAGAGACTCTAGTTCAATAGATAAAGGCAAAGAGACTAGGGCACTGAATTTTGGTTGTTTCATCATTCAAAAGATGCACAAGGGGCTGCTGATCTCACTGCTGTAGTGGTGGTCCCTATGCATAGACCTGCCCTTGCTCAGCCACTGGCCTGTGAGAGGGCAAAACTCATAGAAAGAATGGCTTCCAGTTGAGAGCCTTGATGTATTTTACTCTTCTGATGGGTAGAGAAAATTAGAATTGCTCCAGGTAAATTTTGCACGTTCACAGTGGTTTCATTTTGTGGGTTTTTTTTTTTCCTACAGAAATCTTTCCATTCCTTACCCCAATTTTTGAAGCATTAAATATCACTGTGTTTCCAAGAAAAGTTACAAGTTTTCTAAGAAAATCTGTAAAGAGGATAAAAGAAGGTCGCCTCAAAGAGACACAAAAGGTAAAACATGGTGGCAGTTATAGGTGGATGTTTAGTTTTTCATAATTTTTTGTTAATATACATATGATTGGTGCACTTCCCTGTCTGTTTGTAGAGAAATATTTTAACATAAAGAGTACTCATTCTTAGAGCAAGATAATTGATTTGGTAGGAATGCAGAAAGCGGAGTTTGGGGAAGGAGATATGAGAACGAGTCAGAGATAGCACTTAAAATTTGATATCAGGCACCACAATTAGTATGTCATGGCATAAATATTATTCACATAAAACTTTATCACACTACTTCCCTTCAATAAATTGCCAAAGGATAAACATTACTGTTTGGAAATATATTTTACTGGTATTATGCTTTCTCTAGATCATAGATTGCTAAAGAATCATTTCAAGTACAAGCCTGTTATTTCAAACATTCTCCAATGAAAGGCCCTATCAGGCCACCTCCTGGAGTGTAGTGTGTGTTACATTTGAGCCCTCTCACAGCCTCAAGTGAACAGGCGTCTTCTCCGGGAATTGAGGCTGCAAGGCTGGCTAACTCAGCTTTGCCTTCATCAGCCCTAGAGGCCAGCCAAAGGATGTCGGCAGGTCAGGGAGGTAGGAATGGGTAACCCAGGTATCACTGAAGATTGTATAGATTTGGGGAATGTTGGAGTATTTGAAGATGCTCCCACCAAAGCTGCTGATAAGTTCTGGAAATGTCAGGAGAATAATCTTTGTGGATATTGGTGAAGAAGAAGACAGAAGAATAAAACGTCCAGGACTTCTTCATGGGTATGCAGTTAGGACCACGGAAAAGACCAAAAAGCAATTGAACATTTTATCCAGATTTGTTTCGGGAAAACATCCTGCTTTCCAAGGATTTAGATGGATATTTTTTTCACTGGTGACTCAGGCAACACCCATCAGATTTCCAGTCTTCAAGGGGCCATATTCTCAGAAGGGAGGTTGAGGACTGCACTTCCGATTAACTTCTGACTTCATGAGTCACTTTCTGTCAATAAAATTTCTCTTTTTGCTTCTAGCGCCGAGTGGATTTCCTTCAGCTGATGATTGACTCTCAGAATTCGAAAGACACTGAGTCCCACAAAGGTATCCAAAGAGTGCTTCTGGGGGCTCCTGGTGGGGCACTCAGAGGAAGGTCCTTGTTCTGAAAATATACAGGAAGTATTCCAGGAAGATGAGAATTTCTGCCACATAGCAGAATGACACAGGTTTCGGATGTTACAAATGGTAGCTGGAGGCACTTTCTAGAGGCATACAGGCATAGATAGCCATGTTCTAAACTTAAAGGGCAACCCTAAGGAAACCTGGCATGCCAGAGTCAGCAGTCTGTGAATCACCTACATAAGATCAAATGGCAGTTTCAGCCTCCTGCACATCCACAGAATTAAAATTTCTGCCTGGAAATTTATTAGGTTTCTGCAAAAATAATTGCGATTTTTGTGATTACTTTTAATCGCAAAAACCGCAATTACTTTTGCAGCAGCCTAATGCATCTAACATCCAGTCAGGAGGCATGCTGTCCTAATAAGGGTGATTTTAACTGGTAATATTTGGTGAAAGTGTGTTCACCAGGTTAATCTACTACAAAGTTTTTTTTTTCTTTGGAAAGGGTAAGTAACTTGTGGGGAAAACCTCTGAGACCGTGTAAATATCCTCTTTGTCTTCAATCTTTCACCTACTAGTTTTAAAATCCATGTACAATTTTCACTGAAGTCATTATTACCATGACAGTGGCAAAATGATGACCATGTTCAATTTCAAGTCACCAAGGTTTGGCAATCATGTCACAAAATTCCTGAATATTTAATCATTGGTTCCAGAGAGCAGGAGTAGGCTGACTTCAGCATACTGCTTTAAATATGTCCATGTCTACAACTACTTCTGTCTGTCTATCTATCTATCTATCTATCTATCTATCTATCTATCTATCTATCATCTACCCATCTATCATCTATTTATCTACTTATTGATTATCTACGTATCTATCTCTCATCTGTCTATTCATCTATCTATCCCATTACAACTTGCTGTGATAAACGAAATAGCCTATTGTGTTAGTGTTTCATCTAGAAATCACTAGACACATATAGTTATTGAGCACTGCACGTGGCTAGTGCCACTGATGAAAAATTTTAAATTGTATTTAAGTTTAATTGACTAAAATTTGATTTTAAATAATCACATTTTGATAGTGGCTACCATATTGGACAGCAGAGCTCTAAACTTTGAGATTATAGTTCAGTTTTGCATCAGTATCATCAGGTTCATGGTAACTGAATACACGTATTAGATAGTTGAATTTACCCACAACTGCATCACAGAAATCTTCACCGGTAAATCACAGCTTTGTCGACATTTCTCACACTCCTTTCATATGGCTTTTGGTTGTGAATTATGTAGTTGGAGCAGGCGTCATATTTATTTCTGTGTTCCAGGTCTTTAAATGTCCTAATCCAGTCCTGATCAAACAGACCAATGATGGACCACCCTGAGCTTCTCTCAGGAGAAAAATCAAGGGGGGTGCCAACTTGTAATGACAGAAGCTTATGCTATTTTAATGCCATTCATCAGACTACAGACAATCACCACTCATCTAGCTTTTTGTCCATCTCCAATTGCTGTACATCCTGAGATAGTCAATTCTGAGACCTATAGCCTAGATCTACCAGCTGATGCATCAAAGATACAAGCCATACTTCTCAAGATGGGCTATGCACACAAATTACTGCATCTTGTGAAATTCAGATTTTGAATCAGTAGTTCAATGGTGGAGTTTGAGATTTTGCATTTCTGTTTTTGTTGCTGTTGTTTTGCTTTGAGACAGAGTTTTTGCTCTTGTTGCCCAGGCTAGGGTGCAACGGCACAATTTCGGCTCACCACAACCTCAGCCTCCCAGATTCAAGCGATTCTTCTGCCTCAGCCTCCCGAGTAGCTGGGATTACAGGCATGTGCCACCATGCCTGGGTAATTTTGTATTTTAGTAGAGGCGGGGTTTCTCCATGTTGGTTAGGCTGGTCTTGAACTCCTGACCTCAGGTGATCCATCCGCCTTGGCCTCCCAAAGTGCTCAGATTACAGGTGTGTACCACCGCACTCAGTTTTGCATTTCTAACTAGCTCCCAGATGTTTATGACCCATAGACCACACTTTGAGTAACAAGAGGTGGTCTGTATTCCAATATTGGCCTCAAACATATCTACAGGAAAGGTCCTTTAATTTTCCATACATTTAACCATTAATGTTGCAATTTTTCTCAAAGTTTGTCAAGGTATATTGTAGCTAAAATGAATTACATTTTTCTTGGGAGAGAAGACTACCCCATATTAATTTACAATAAAGTACTTTTAGGATCATTCAAGGAGCACGCCCATAACACTGAATATATTATGCAGAAACGCTCTCTCTGGAAATTACCCAGCTGTGCAGGTGGCAGGGATGGCATGAGGAGGAGTGGATGGCCCACATTTACATTTTTGACGACCTTGGGGAAAACTGGATTAAAATTATTTGCCTTGTTGTGGCTCTGTAAGACACACATCAGAGTGAAGCCACCCGCAGTGAGACTCTGAATTGCTTTTCTATTTTTTCCCCTAGGTATTTGAGGACTTCATTTAGATTTCTCTTCATCTAAACTGTGATGCCCTACACTGACCTGATTTACCTGAAATGTCTTTCCTCTCCTTTCAGTTCTGTCTGATCTGGAGCTCATGGCCCAATCAATTATGTTTATTTTTGCTGGCTATGAAACCACGAGCAGTGTTCTCTCCTTCATTATATATGAGCTGGCCACTCACCCTGATGTCCAGCAGAAACTGCAGAAGGAAATTGATACAGTTTTACCCAATAAGGTGAGTGGATGATGCATGGAGAAGGAGGGAGGAGGTGAAGCCTTAGCAAAAATGCCTCCTCGCCACTTCCCAGGAGAATTTTTATAAAAAGCATAATCATGATTGTTTCACTCACAATATGTAGGAAGGTTCTGAAAATGAAAAAAAAGAAACATAGGGAATTGTTGCTATTGGGCAGAAGTATAAGATCTTTGTAAAACAGTCCTCTCCCTGGTTCATCTGCTTTCTATTACCACAATAATGCTAAGTAAAAAACATCCAAAAAACTCAGTGGCATTTAACGATAAGCATATTGCTCACACATCTTGATAGTAAGCTCTGCTGATATTGGCAGGACTTGCTCTGGTCTGGCTGGGGTCTGAGGGAGCCTGGCCCTGGGTGCGCTGTGCAGGCTGACTCAGCTCTGCCGCACAGCTGTCTCAATCAGGTAGCCACTGTTGAAGAAGCAAAGCTAGAACCAGCGTACCTGACCCTTGAGCTAAACTCTTAAACTCTATAATACTGCCTTCCAAATATAATATCAAGTACTAGGTGCATATCAACCATACTGTTTTCAGACCTCTGCCAAAACTGGGATTCTTTGTGGTATGAAGAGACAAGGCTTTTGGGCTGGCCCTCATATGGCAGTGAGGTGAACACAAAGGGATGTTCTTTAGAGATTACAGTCCAGCCCTGAAGCAACAACTAGGAGACTGTTTCAGCAAGTGAGGACAGGGCTGTGTGGGGTTCTATCCTCTTCATAACTTTGCCTAGCACTTTAATCATGTGCACTGGTAACATCCAATCAGAACCTTCTTTTGTCATATTTGGGATAGAAAGGGACTAGTTTGTCCTCAAATTATTCATAGAGATTTTATATAATATAGTGTTTCCACATTTTAAGTGTATAACAAAAGCCCTGCTTGTGTGTGTGTGTGTGTACACACACACACATATATATATAATACAAATCCTGCTTTGTAACTGTTTTTGTTTGCATATATAACAAAGAGAGTTATGAAGCAGGACTTTGACCAATAATCCTTGTGTGGTACAGAGAACTTGCTTTTTCTATCTGTTTTCACTTTCTTGGTTACAGACATGTGACCTCTTTTTGAAAGGGACAATCACTTTGTCATATTGTATTTGATGCTAGTGGTCATAGCCTATTAGTCACACTTGCTTCCATGAGAAAGAAAAAACACTACATGGTTATGCTAAGGATTTCAGTCTCTGGGGTGAGAGCTGTCCCGAAAGTCTCCCGCTTTCATAACTCCTCCACACATCTCAGTGGGCCATTGAGCACATCAATGGGCATGACAGTTATTAAAACACTTTATGAATGCTACAATCCTTTACCAGTATGACTTATTCTCTGGAGCTTCTAACACTTCAACAGTACTTCATGGACTGAGTTAAAAAGTTAATTCAAAATCTCAATTTATCCAAATCTGCTTCTTTCTTTCCAGGCACCACCCACCTATGATACTATGCTACAGATGGAGTATCTCGACATGGTGGTGAATGAAACGCTCAGATTATTCCCAGTTGCTATGAGACTTGAGAGGGTCTGCAAAAAAGATGTTGAAATCAATGGGATGTCCATTCCCAAAGGGGTGGTGGTGATGATTCCAAGCTATGTTCTTCATCATGACCCAAAGTACTGGACAGAGCCTGAGAAGTTCCTCCCTGAAAGGTACAAGGCCCTGGGAAAGGAGCCCTCCCTGAACCAGCCTAGTTCAAGCATATTCTGCCTCTCTTAATCTACAGGACAGTCATGGGCTTGTACAATCATTTGCTTATCTTTTTACTTTTAAAAGTTTTTTTTTTTATCATGAAATTGATCATTGTCACACTTTACAAACCATAGACTAGATATAGCCACCCACAGTCCCAGCAATTTAAGATGAAGGTCATAAATTATATCCTTAGGGGTCATAAGAGTCCAAAATATAAGGACTCTTTTAAAAACATATGATCACAATGCTACTATTATGTCCTACTAATGAATATTTTTTCCTTAATATAATCAAATCTTCTGGAATCAAATTTGAGTAAAAACCATGGGTCCAATCTTCAAAGAATTCATAGCTTAGTGGAAGAGATAGACAAAGAAAGCAGTGATGATACTGCTTTGCACTGGTACAGTAGCATATGCCCATGTAAATTATCTGACTTAAACTATTCTGTGGAGGAGCTGGGGAGAAAGAGGCAGAGATGGAGATTAGAGGAAGGAGGAGGAGGAGGAAAGGAGGGATAAGACAAGGTAGGGAGGAGAAGGAGGAGAATTAGAAAAACAAGAGAGGAGAGGAGAAAAGGAAAGTGCAAAATAACAATTTTGAAGTAGTGCAAGACGATTTCTTCTTTTCCTTCCTTATGACCAACATAAGTGTGACTTGAGGCAGGAATCTACTTTTCCATCAGTCAGTCTCATCACTTACTTGCGTTTTATAGTGTGAAAACATCACCACCCTGAATATAATCTGAGCATTTAGAAATAAATACCCTTTGCAACACTATTTATCTCATCTCAACAAGACAGAAACCTCCTATAGTGTAAGGAGAGTAGAAAGGATCTGTAACTTACAATTCTCATAGCAAAATAGGCATAGCCGGATTTCAATGACCAGCCCACAAAAGTATACTGTGTACTACTAGTAGAGGAGTGGGCCCTAAGTAAGAAACCCTAACATGTAACCCTTAGGGGTATTATGTCATTAACTTTTAAAATATCTACCAATATGGAACCAGGTTCAGTAAGAAGAACAAGGACAACATAGATCCTTACATATACACGCCCTTTGGAAATGGACCCAGAAACTGCATTGGCATGAGGTTTGCTCTCATGAACATGAAACTTGCTCTAATCAGAGTCCTTCAGAACTTCTCCTTCAAACCCTGTAAAGAAACACAGGTCAGTCAATTTTCTGTATTAATAATGTTTTATTAAGAATTATTTTAACTGAAGGGTCTATATATTTAAAAAAGAATACACTCATTTAATCTTTTAATAATTTGTTCTATGGGCCAAGGAATCTCTTTGGACCCATCTATGATCTTTAAGGGTGCTTCAGTTCTGGAGGTCAAAAGCCTCCATTAAAAACATCATGTAAATTCCACGTAGATTAGCATGGCATGATTATCTGCAGTCTCCTTGAACTTGAACAAAGTTTAAATTCAGTTTCAAGTCTATTGGAAAGATGGGGAAGTATTTCATGCAATAATGAGGTGCAATTATTATCTTGTTTTGACTTTTGAATGGTGCTATTCCTTCCCAGAACTTGAGGAAGCTTTCTCATGACAGTGGCTCCCAACCACTAGCTGTACACTGGAATCACCAGTGAGCTTTAAAAATTTATTATGCCTGGGACATCTCAGAAATTCTAAACTAATTTGCCCAGAGTGTGGCTTTAAAAGCTCCCCAATTGCTTCTCATGTGAAGCCAAGGTGGAAAATGACTAATTTAAGGTATTTCTATTGGATATGAAGGACTACCATAGTCCAAGGCCATCCTTACTGACCTCACCTTCCAGATGCCTAGCTCCATCCAACTGGGCTCCTTTTCAACCCAATTATAACTCTATTAATCTTCTTCCCTTTCTTCTCCTCATTCTGTTCTTATCTTTCAAGTCCTAGTTCAATTCCCAAGCCCCTCCAAGGTGTCTTCTCCACCTAGTCCAGGGCTCATTTACTCTTTTGCTCTGTTATTGGTTACTGGAGGCTATTATCATATAATTTCATAATTTGCCATTAAATCATTGAGTTTTGTTCTCTATATTTTATCTGTATCTAAGAATGTCTTCCCCCTTCCATTAACAATATCCTCTCATGTGGAGAAATAGGAACACTTTTACACTGTTGGTGGGACTGTAAACTAGTTCAACCATTGTGGAAGACAGTGTGGCAATTCTTCAAGGATCTAGAACTAGAAATACCATTTGACCCAGCCATCCCATTACTGGGGACATACCCAAAGGATTATCAATCATGCTGCTATAAAGACACATGCACACGTATATTGCGGCACTATTCACAATAGCAAAGACTTGGAACCAATCCAAATGTCCATCAATGACAGACTGGATTAAGAAAATGTGGCACATATACACCATGGAATACTATACAGCTATAAAAAAGGATGAGTTCCTGTCCTTTGTTGGGACATGGATGCAGCTGGGAACCATCATTCTCAGAAAACTATCACAAGAACAGAAAACCAAACACCCCATGTTCTCACTCATAGGTGGTAATTGAACAATAAGAACACTTGGACACAGGAAAGGGAACATCACACACCAGAGTCTGTCATGGGGTTGGGGGAGGGATAGCAGTAGGAGATATACCTAATGTAAATGACGAGTTAATGGGTGCAGCACACCAACATGGCACATGTATACATATATAACAAACCTGCACATTGTGCACATGTACCCTAGAACTTGAAGTATAATAAAAAATAAATAAAATTTTTTTAGATAACTACAGAAAAAAATAATAAATCCTCTTATTTTATTCCTTTTAAAATATCCCAGTGGTGCCTTGCAAGTGACCTTATCTAATTCAAGCATTTGGTCATTTGGTAAATGTTTAAGGAGTGATGTGCAGTCGACTGGCTTGAATACAAATATTAAGTTTTTTAATGTGAACATTTAGCAAATGACATTCATGTATTTGCATGTGTGTGTATGTGACATGTCCACGTGCATGTCTGTCTGCAGGGAAAATGTATTCTTGCTTTTTGAAAATTTTTAAATAATAAGGTATTATATTTGCAGAAAGATTTGGAATCTTTTCTCTGAAGAAGTTAAAAAATAGATGTCATTTATTCATATTAAGTAAGACCCTATAAATCTTATTTCTAGGTCTCATGTATTTATTAAGCAACTCCACCCCTTAAGCAGGCTTTCTACATAGGAGAGGAGGAAGATAGAGATGGTTTCCATATTATTTCCATATTCCACATTATTTGTGGCTTTAGGCCAGCTATGTGGCTATCCTGCATGTGTGCTCAGACAGGGGACTCAGCCCTGAGAGAAAGTGGTCCTCTGGCACACCTGGGATGGGGAAGGCACTCACTTGTAAGTCCCAAGCTGGCACTTCTTGATTGCCCATCACTCCATGGAGATCAGAATATCACTCTGCTGTGTTCCCTCAACACTGAAGCAGTGTCTCAATAAGAATGGGGCTAAAAGTTGAGTCAAAACACTGTAAGAATTGAGAGGTTCCCCACTTGCACTACCCTTGGAAACCAAGAGAAAATGTTAAAAAATAAAACGATGATGCTTCCTGAAGGTGTCTTCCCATCTTTACACTAGATGGGTTCCATTGGGAGGAATTACTGGACTCTGGAAGTTGAAGACTGTCCATATAAATAAAATGTACAACAGTTAGTCAGGATTACCTTGCAAGTTTCAACATACACCAAATTAACTTCATAAAATGCTTTAAAAATAGTTTAGCATTATATCTAATAATCTGGTTTAAATTTTTAAAACTCATCTATTTTCTTAAAATTTAAATCAAAAAAGAACATGGGTTCCCATGAATTTGTCTCAGGTCAAGCCTCGTACAGAATAGGTGCTCCATAAATATTCTGTTAAATGATTGATGATGAATGCTCTCATTATCCAATCTTCACACATCTTATTGAGTAAGTATAAAGAATCCAAGATTTAAAATGCTGAAAGTAGTTTTTATATGTTTACAAAGTATTATTGTCATTAATGCATTTTTTTTACTTTGATGCTATACTTTCTACTTTTGCTTTATTTAATGCTTCTCAATATGCTTGTTTAACTGTTGCAGATCCCCCTGAAATTACGCTTTGGAGGACTTCTTAAAACAGAAAAACCCATTGTTCTAACGGCTGAGTCAAGGGATGGGACCGTAAGTGGAGCCTGATTTCCCTAAGGACTTCTGCTTTGCTCTTCAAGAAAGCTGTGCCCCAGAACCCCAGAGACCTCAAATTACTTTGTGAATAGAACCCTGAAATGAAGATGGGCTTCATCCAATGTATTGCATAAATAACCAGGGATTCTCTGCATGTATTGTGCTCTCTCATGGTCTGTATAGAGTGTTATACTTGGTAATATAAAGGAGATGACTAAATCAGTGCTGGGGAAGTAGATTTGGCTTCTCTGCTTCTCCACAGATAGGACTATCTCCACCACCCCCAGTTAGCACCATTAACTCCTCCTGAGCTCTGATAACAGAATAAACATTTCTCAATAATTTCATCCACAATCATTAATGAAAATAAGAATTATTTTGATGGCTCTAACAGTGGCATTTATATCACATGTTATATCTGGAGTATTCTATAGTAAGTTTTATATTAAGCTAATCAATAAAAACCTCTTTACAAGAGTATTATCGTATGCTTTCCTGCACATTAAGGAGAAATCTATAGAACTGAATGACTGAGAACCAACAAGTAAATATTTTGATCATTGTAGTCACTGTTGGTGTGAGGCCTTCGTCAGAATTCCAGTTTGATTATTAACACAGGTGAGAGTTAATCCACTATGACTTTGCCCATTGTTTAGAAAGAATATTCATAGTTTAATTACGACATTTTTGACCAGGCACAGTGGCTCATGCCTATAATCCCAGCACTCTGGGAGGCCAAGGCGCAGATAACCTGAGGCCAGGAGTTCGACACCAGCCTGACCAACATGGTGAAGCCCCATTTCTACTAAAAATACAAAAATTAGCTACGCATGGTGGCACATGCCTGTAATCTCAGCTACCCAGGATGCTGAGGCAGGCAATTGCTTGAACCTGGGAAGCAGAGGCTGCAGTGAGCCAAGATCACCCCACTGAACTCCAGCCTGGGTGATAGAGTGAGACTGCATCTCAAAAAAAAAAAAAAAAATTACACCTTTTTGTAGCATATATATTTTGTAACATATAACTGAAGCCATTATTATATTATTAGTTTTGATTTAATATTTTCAGCCCATCTCCCCTGATATTTCTGGGAGACAGGAAACATGTTTTCCTACATCTCTTGCATTCCATCCTCAACTCCCAACTGTCTTAATGCAAACAACACTTAATAAAAAACAGTTGATTGGTCAATTGATTGGGCAACAAGGCTAAAAATACTCATTCCTGTTCTTTTCCTATTTCTTCCTTTATTTTCCCTTTCTGAATAATTTAGTCCTAGAGGCATTAGGTGGGTGGCAGCCAGATGGTGGCCACACATTAAGGTAGAGAAGAGAGTCATGGTGGTTCCAAGTCAGAGACCAGGTAGGATGAGGACAAAGTGGGTGTTCATGTGGAAACAACCTGCCTGGGTGTGGAAGTCCAGGAAAGCAGAGAAGGGGTCCATACAGAGGGGTGGCCTACAAGAGCAGCCAGAGCCTAAATATGGCATGGAGAATCCACGTGAGGTGAGGAGGGCATCCATGAGTGGGAACCAGTGGGTGAGGTTTGGCTACATAAAGGGAATTGATCAAATAAGTAAATATATTAAGGACGATGGAAGCCAGGCTTCTCACCTTTGCAGAAGGGAGTCATGGATTCAGAAAGGGAGAAAACCAGCATGAATCCTATGAAATTAGGTTGGAATGGATGTATTCGTGTATATTCATACCCTTCTAGATAGATAGATGGGTAGATAGGTGATAGATAACAGATAGAGGACAAGATCATTAGATAGACATACATGTATGTATGTGTTTGTGTGTGTGTACAAAAAAAACCCATATATTTCCTACTTCTCTTCACTGATAGGGCTAGGTAACAATGACATTTCAATACCAATGAGTACACTTAGTGCTCAGATCTTCGCTTATGAATACCATTTTCTGCGGAAAGGAACCAGAGCTCTTTAGAGAAATGCCTGATTCCAGGGCCAGGGTTAAGAATGTTCAAGACAAGCCTAGGACACATTCTGTGCCAGGAAGCAAGAAAATGTTCAAATGATTTCCAAGTAATGTTTAGAAATGATATTTGAAAAAGTCTTCCAAATGATAATTCCAAATGATATTTGCAAAAACCTAAAGACTCCACCAAAGAACTATTAGGACTGATAAACATACTCAGTTAAGTTGCAGGATATAAAATCCACATACAAAAATTAGTAGCATTTCTATATGCAAATAGTGAACAATCTGGCAAAAATAAAAAAATCCCTTTTACAATACCACAAATAAAACTAAATACCTAGGAATTAACTTAAAGAAGAGAGAGATCTCTACAATGAATACTGTAAAACACTGATGAAGGAAATTAAAGAAGACACAAAAACAGAAGGATATTCCATGTTTACATACTGTAAGAATCAATATTGTTAAAACTGTCCCTACTACCCAAAGCAATGTAGAGATTCAACGCAATCCCTCAAAATACCAATGACATTCTTCAAAGAAATAGAAGAAAAAATTCTAACATTTCTGTAGAACCACAAAAGACCCAGAATAGCCAAATCTTCAGCAAAAAGAACAAAACTGGAGAAATCATATTACCTGACTTCAACTTATACTACTAGAGGTATAGTAACCAAAACAGCATGATTCTTGTATAAAAACAGACATGTTGACCAATGAAATAGAATAGAGCACCCAGAAACAAATCCACACACCTACAGTGAATTTGTTTTCGACAATGTTGTCAAGAACATACACTGAGGAAAAGATAGTCTCTTCTGGGGCTGGGAAAGCTGACTATCAATATACAGAAGAATGAAACTAGACCCCTATATCTCACCAGACACAAAAATCAAATCAAAGTGGATGAAAGACTGAAATTTGGCCAAGAGCGGTGGCTCATGCCTGTAATCCCAGCACTTTGAGAGGCTGAGGCGGGTGGATCACTTGAGGTCAGGATTTCAAGACCAGCCTGGCAAACAAGATGAAATCCCGTCTCTACCAAAAAATATAAAAGTTAGCTGGGCATGGTAGTGCATGCCTGTAGTCCCAGCTACTCAGTAGGCTGAGGTGGGAGAGTCACTTGGACCCAGGAGGTGGAGGTTGCAGTGAGCTGAGATCATGCCAACGCACCCCAGCCTAGGCAACAGAGTGAGACTCTGTCTCAATAAAAGGAAAAAAAAAAAAAAAAAGAACTAAAATCCAAGACCTCAAATGATGAAACTGCTACAGGAAACATTGTGGAAATTCTTCAGGACATTGGTCTGTACAAAAAATGCTGAAGTAATACCCCACAAGCACAGGAAACCAAGGCAAAACTGGACAAATGGAATCACATCAAGTTAAAAAGCCTCTGTGCTGCAAAGAAAGCAATCAACAAAGTGACGACTCAAACCACAGAATGGGAGAAAATATTTTCAAACTAATACTCCAACAACAGATGAACAACAAGAATATACACAGAACACAAACAACTCTTCAGAAAAAAATTAATAATCCTAATAATCAAAAAATGGGCAAAAGATTTAAATAGACATTTCTCAAAAGAAGACACACAAATGCCACATAGGCATATGAAAAGGTGCTCAGCATCATTGATCATTAGAGAAATGCAAATCAAAACTACAATATCATCTCACTCCAGCTAAAATGGTTTTTATCCAAAAGACAGGCAATAACAAATGCCAGCGAGAATGTGGAAAAAAGGAAATTCTTGTACACTGTTGGTGTAAATTAGTACAACCACTATAGAGAACAGTTTGGAGGTTCCTCAAAACATTAAAATAGAGCTATCATAAGATCCAGAAATCCTTGTGCTGGGTATATGGCTGGAAGAAAGGAAATCCATATATTGAAGAGATATCTTCATTTCCATGTTCACAACAGCCACTATTCATAACTGCCAAGATTTGGAAGAAACCTACATGTGCATCAACAGATGAATGGCTAAAGAAAGTACTCTACTCATACACAGTGGAGTACAATTCAGCCATGAAAAAAGCATGAGATCCTGTTACTTGTAATAACGTGGATGGAACTGGAGGTCATTATGTTAAGTGAAATAAGCCAGGCATGGAAATATAGGCATTGCGTGTTCTCACTTATTTGTGGGATATACAAATCAAAACAATTGAGCTAATGTCTGGGTCTTAGTCAATTTTGTACCCTAAGTACTGGGAGCACAGTCTTTAAAATACATGATGAATGCTTTTATACAGGAATGAATAGAGGAGACGCACAGGGTGGTTGGGGGTTCTTCTGATGCATAGTATCTTCCTTGACACATTCAGTACAACTCTCAACAGGTAAGTCTCTTCATGTTATGTTACCTTATGAGAAATTAAGTGGCAGAACATGTCTTCTATTATTTTCCTTTCCAGACAAGACCAATTGCTGGCTGCATTTGAGTCCCAAGCAACAATTAGGCCGTCGCTATCACCACAGAGTCAGAGGGGATGACACACAGGGGCCAGCAATCTCACCCAAGTCAACTCCACCACACTTTCTGGTCACCCACTGTGTGTATAGAGCCCTGCTAGTGACCAGGGTGATGACAGTAAATAATACCAGACTGTGCCCTTGAGGAGCTCACCTCTGCTGAGGGAAACATGCACAGAAACCCACAATGGTGGTAGAGATGAAATAGGACAATAGGACTGTGTGAGGGGCATAAGAGGCATCCAGAGGAGGAAATGGTTACATCTGTGTGAGGAGGTTCGTAAGGAAAGACTTTAACAGAAGGGGTCTGTCTATCTGGGCTTGGAAGAATGTATAGGAGTCATCTAGGGGGCGTAGGTACACTCCAGGCAGAGGGAATTGCATGGGTAAAGATCTGTAGGTGTGGCTTGTGGGGATGGATTTCAAGTATTCTGGAATGAGGACAGCCATGGAAACAAGGGCAGGTGAGAGGAGATTTAATAGATTTCATGCCAATGGCTCCACTTCAGTTTCTGGTAAGAAATCAGAATCCTTGGACTCCTCGATAACACTGATTAAATTGTTTATGATTCCTCATAGAACATGAACTCAAAGGAGGTCAGCAAAGGGGTGTGTGCAATTCTTTGCTACTGGCTCTAGCTGCAGCCCCGCCTCCTTCTCCAGCACAGAAACATTACAGCAACTTGGCTGCAGACTGCTGTGCAGGGCAGGGAAGCTCCAGGCAGACAGCCCAGCAAACAGCAGCACGCAGCTGAAAGTAAGACTCAGAGGAGACAGCTGAAGGAGGAAAGTGGCAATGGACCTCATCCCAAATTTGGCGGTGGAAACCTGGCTTCTCCTGGCTGTCAGCCTGGTGCTCCTCTATCTGTGAGTAACTGTCCAGGCTCCTCTCCTCTGTTTCCTTGGACTTGGGGTGCTAATCGGGCCCCCTTTCCCTTATCTGCTTAGAAGATCAAAAGAGATGTTCAAGGAGAAGTAGTACAATTGTTGGACGCTACAAACACAGAGAGGTTATTATTGTTCTTATGCAGATCGTTGAAGGAATAAATAAGCATTTCTCCCATCCACCTTCTATTTTTGGTGACTAGGATGCTTTAGTGACAGCATTTTGTAGGGGGAGTGATCTGATTAGGTTAGGCTTGACCTATACTAATCTATGGAAACACAGCCGAGGCAGATTACAAACTACTGAACACAATGGGCAGTGTGATCCTCATCCCCTTCCCAGGCTCTGGGGATTCTGGGGACAGGAGGGAGTGGCTTGCGTTTTTGTCGCTTTATCTTTGTTTTCTGGGTTCTGTGTCTGCTGGAAGGGACATGCAGATGTATTGCCCCTGTGGACCCGGTGGTTCCTGCTCCCCTCCCTTCCACCCCACGATATCATTTACATGAGGCACCAGAGAACACCAATACTTCAGGGGAAGCTGTCCCTTGGCTCTTCCCTCTTTCCCGTGCCATGCTCCTGAAAATCCCCTCCCTCCTATGACTCAATCCTCCACCTTGTCATACACAGAACTATTTAACCTGCAATGATTAATTTCTAGAGCAAAGGAGACTTAGAGGAAGTTTTTAAAGATTTATTCTTTGCTTTAATCTTTTTCCTCCAGTCTCTGGGAGGCTAGGATTAATATACAGCTTTATTTCTTACCTAATGGGAATCTGCTAGCAGCCTGAAAAGGCAGGAGCCATGAAAGCCAATTTGGATTTTAGACATTTTTTCCCCTTTATGTTACAGTACAGGAGGACGAACCCTCTCACTGGTGGGAATCCTGGCATCCTAGAGCAGGTGGAGAAAAGAGTTACCTTCCACTGTGGGTAGTGGAGGCTCAACCTGTCACATTTGACTTCTACAACAAGTTTATTTTTATTAAGACTAGGGAACCACAATGACATGAAAATAGAAAATATAAACCTCATTTTAATTCTTTTACGGAAAGCTTAGGAATTCAGTGAGTTGTGGCAACATGGTTTCCATTTTCTAACATTTCAAAATGAATTGATATGGTTTAAATTCATTCGTTTTTAAACCGGAATTTTTTAGAGATAGACTATTTCCAGCATGTTCCTTCTGGATGACAAAAGAGGGCTGTTAGTTCAGCATTTGTGACAATAAATGTGTGTAAAATAATATCACCTTTCCAGAATAATATCAGGAATATTAGTCTAATGCACAAATGTATACTTCTAAGACAGGACTGCATATGTCTTTGTAAATATACCTGCCTGACAAGTTTATTTTAATACCTCATTTTTGAATATACCTGCTTAGCAGGTTATCTTAAACTCTCAGGGCAGGGGAGTAGGTAAGACTGTGAGCCAGTGACGACAGCAAAGGCATCCAGGTAGGATCAGTATGAAGTGAGAAAATATTCCTCAGCTCTCAGGGTAGAACTGCAAAGAGATACTCATGGGTCCTGGCCCCACAGTGGACGTCACTCAAAGGGCAAACAGGTTGGCATCTCATCTGCTTCAAGCCTGGACACAGGGGCACCATCTATGTCACTCTGTGTGTGGTCTGCCATGTTGTGGGGTGGTCATTACAGATTCAGGCAGCTGGGCAGACAATACCTTAGCCTTAGACAGTGCTGGTGCAGCCCAGGAGTCAGAAGCTATAGTGTAGACCATGCTCTCCTTAGGCCAACACAATTAAGTGCAATAGATGACTGGCTTTTCTGTTAGCCTCTTCATTGAAAACGAAAGCAGCATTACTCTACCAGAGGGGAGCTGGAAAGAAACTAAACAGCTTACCCAGCACAGCCTCTGCCTTGACATGGAACCATGTGAGTCTAGACACTCACCTAGATCTTTCCTTGGGGGGCCAATGCTGCTGACACATTAACTCAATAGTTTATCCTGGCCTGAGAGGTCAAGTAACATGTAGAAAGTTTAGAAGCAGAGATTAGTGTCACTGATTTGCCATGGCTGTGACAACAAAGGAAGGGAGTGAGAAAACCCAAGGCCACCCTGGTTTCAGTAGACGATGCACACACTTCCACTAACTGTTCTGGGGGCAAGGATCCAAATGCACTATTGGGCCTGGCTATGCGGCCTCTGCTGGGTCCTCCAAACACGAGCCTCCAGGCCATTTCTCAGTTGTATTTTACCATATATTATCAGAGTCACTGGATTTGTACAGAATGTTTGGAACCTATACTGCCTTAAGGGCTATCCTTTAAAGAAGAGAAAACAAGGTCTAATTCAACTGTCTGGAACATTTTATGGTTACTTATGTGGAATACTGCATCTTTCCTATCAACAGGAAGGCACATGGACTTTAGAAGGTGCCTGTCTTTCAGCTGAAAGCACATATGAGGCATATAGATCCATTTATGCACACCATACTTTTCAGCCACATTTTCCTAATTTGCCTCTCTGGGGCCAATCTTTTGGGACTAGCAGATTCAAGGTTGAATTGATGGATGGCGACCTCTTCCATCAGCCTTTCTTCTTCCTCCAGTCTTCCATTCCTCAGTAATATCAGACTGGGAAGGTCTTCACACATCCAGAAACCCCAGTTGGGGGAGTCCATACATGACCCATCAAAGATGAGTTGCATACAGGCCTGCCATAGGGAGAACCAGCCTTAATGAGTTTTCCTACAGAGATACTTATGTGCAGAGGCAATAAATTGACTGCTTTGTGATTGATCACCTTGAAAAAAATGAGCATGCCTGGATATATTAGTCCTTTCTTGCACTGCTATAAAGAGATACCTGAGGCTGGGTAATTTATAAAGAAAAGAGATTTAATTGTCTCATGGTTCTGCAGGCTCTACAGGAAGCATAGCAACTTCTGCTCTGGGGAGGCCTCAGGAAATTTACAATCATGGTAGAAGGTGAAGAAGAAGTAGGCAGATCTTACATGGCTTGAGCAGAAGCAGGAGAGAGTGGGGAGAAGGCGCCACACACTTTTAAACCACCAGATCTCACAAAAACTCGTTGTCACGAGGAAAACACCCAGGGGGGTTGGTATGAAACCATGAGAAACTGCCCCAAAGATACAATCACCTTCTATCAGGCCCTACCACCAGCACTGGGGATTACATTTCAGCATGAGATTTGGGTAGGAGCAGATTCAGACCATACCACTAGCACTGTGCTTATCAGATGAATATCACCAGTTGGAAGGCTAGATTCTACAAGAGGAGGAATGTCCTGGAAATTGGTTCTTTAAGTTGTGATTCTTCTGCACACTGTCATTCAGGGAATTATGAGTCACTCATCCTCCCCAGTAGCTCAAATCAACCAGATTATCTGACCACAGAGACTGAGGTGTAGCTGAAAGGTTCTCGCATTTCTATGAGGCCAATGGAAGCCTGGAGCACAGTTGTCAATCTGTAGAAATAAGGACTCTGTGACTCCTGCAACACCTCTCTGTGAATGACGGTTTAAGAAGGGCCAGATCCTAAAATAGGGTCAGAGCTTAGAGGGAAGGGAAAGCATAAATGACTCTTAGCAAATTCTAAAGACAGGGTCACCATAGGCTCTCAGTGACCCTCTGTGACTGAGTAGATGCAGTGATGCAAAATCTCATCATCACGGATGAAGACAAAAAAAAAAAAAAAAGTCACCCTTTCTACCTAGGATGAGACTCCCCAAATCAGGGAAGAGTCCACTTACTAAACAGACATAAGGGACTGAAGTGCCCTGGAAGAATTACTGCCTGAACCTCTCAGGAGCACTCAGGTTTGAGGACATTTATCAAGTATTCATTCCAGGATTGGGACCATGAAGACTTCTGCTGCTTTCAGCTAGTCATTGCAACTTTTTGGGGTCTCATGGTGGAGGCGGGAAAGGACCTGATGAACAAACATAATCATTGCCATCGGAGTTACTGTTATCATTTATTGCCTTAATGTTACCTCCTTCTCTTGAGCATTCCAGTTCCTCCGTCAGTGACTCACCAGCCCCTATATCTATAAAGTCACAATTCCTGAGACCTGATTTCTGTTTCACTTTGTAGATATGGAGCCCATTCACATGGACTTTTTAAGAAGCTTGGAATTCCAGGGCCCACACCTCTGCCTTTTTTGGGAACTACTTTGTCCTACCGTCAGGTGAGTGTTTTTGAGCTTGCTCTTTCGCTTCTTATGATTGGAAAGAACAGCTTAGTTCCATCAGTAAAAATGCTTCTCCTCAGGAGGAAGGTCTGAGGTTTTATACCTTCGGAAACAGTGTATAGGCACCACCCAGAGCATGGCAAGGTTTACCCCAGGGCCCTCTGGCTAACTCTCAGGAACCTCAGGTTTGCCTCAGTTGAACAGCCCAAATCTCAGGCATATCGGCAACCTGATGTTCAGAATTTGATGTGCAGACTTTGAGAGCACCATAAAGAAGATTTTCCTTTTGCCCCATGTAGGTTCCCAGGAAGGTACAGTCATATTTAGTTAGTATTAAGAGTAGGAAAAGGACCCCCTGGTTGTGGCTTGTTATCTGTGTACATGAGAGTCAAACTTTCCTTTCTATAGCAAGAGCTCTGGAGTAGCCTTTTTTCCCTACCTCTTGGACAGCTTTGAAACTCACTTTATTAGGGAGATCAAGTATTTACCGTTGGGTCAGTTTCACCTGCTTGAATCCTCTCCAAAAAATGCTAAATTCCCTGAAGGTATTTCCATGGCTCTACCCCAGCTCTTACTCCCCATGACATCTTCTGCAGCTTTGAGAGTCAGAACAAAGAGGTTCTGCTTTACTTCTTTTCTTTCAAAGGCTGTAGCTTATGGGTGAGTCTGAGCAGGGAGTGGATATAACTGAGATGAGATACTAGTTGTCTATCAATGTCAGATATTTAAGCACAAAATGAATTTGTGGGTTTTTTTTTTTTACACAAAGGCAGAATCACATGTAAAATTAAGGAAGGAGACCACCCCTCATATTGTCTTATGCCCAATTTCTGCCTCCAAAGAAAGAAGAAGTAAAAACTAAAAGGCAGAAATGAAATCCACAGGCAGACAGTCCGGCGCCGCACCTTGGGTCTGGTAGCTAAAGATCGACCCCTGACCTCATTGGTTATGTTATCTATAGATTACAGACATTGTATAGAAATGCACTGTGAAAATCCCTATCTTGTTTTGTTCCGATCTAATTACCGGCACATGCAGCCCCCAGTCACGTACCCCCTGCTTGCTCAATCAATCACGACCCTCTCACACGCACTCCCTTAGAGTTATGAGCCCTTAAAAGGGACAGGAATTGCCCACTCGGGGAGCTTGGCTCTTGAGACATGAGTCTTGCCGATGCCCATGGCCGAATAAACCCCTTCCTTCTTTAACTCGGTGTCTGAGGAGTTTTGTCTGCGGCTCATCCTGCTACAAAATCACTAGAAAGGGGATAATTTGATGAAATTATTAAATATTTAATTTCACTGAATAGAATGTAATATGTGCCACATGGACTGTGAACTTTGGCCGAGCCTTTGTGCCTAACCTGGTCTGATGCTCTGCCCAGGGCCTGGCCCCTAGATGGAAAATTATGAGCTCATGTCCACAGGGCCAGCAGCAGCAGTCAGCTCTCTGGCTTAGATCATCTTTCCTGCATACCTGAGGCTTGTTTCTCTGATTCCAATTCTTCCAAGTGAGGGCTTTGTTATTTAATTACTGGCCAGGAATTTCATATTTTTTCACTTTGCAAAAGCAATAATTTCCCCACCACCTTTTCCAGGTCAGCTCTTTAGTAGATGTACCCTCAAGATACACATTCCTGGGACCTTTGTTTGCATAGCTAAAGTGTCAACCCTGAAATGTAGAAACAGGAAGGTTTGTTTTTAAGTTTCAGTGAAAACGCTTAGCAAGTGTTGTAATTTGCTGTGTCCAATGTGTAGAGGCGACATTTTCTCAGAACTTCCATGTTAAGCTGGGAAACTGGAAAGCGAGTCCACTTTGTTATTCTGTCACTCACTCCTTTTCTCACTCAACAAACATGCCTCAGACTTACCTAAATCCGCTAGACTAAAAGAGGTCCCTGATGTCTGTAACTTTCTAATTCTGCTAGAATTCCAGAGCGAGCTCATGAAATAAATGAAAAGGATGATGGACAAAGAGATAAAAGACTGTGCATTCCCTTCTGACACTCACTTTCCCTCAGCCTCAGTTTCCCCACGTGCCCCTAGAGGTGATCATTCAGGCATTTATGAGATTTTAGAGACAACACATGAAAAAGCAAAAAGACATCAGAAAGACAAGGAGTTAGTTTATACACAAGGATAAGTCTTTCAGTATCTACAACACTTTGAGAAAATTCAAGAGTGATTTTAAACTTCCCATTTCAAATACCTCCTCTGTTCTCTCTTCTTTCCCTTATAACCTCTCTAAATAAGCTTCCTCTAACTGCCAGCAAGTCTGATTTCATTGGATTCAACTGTTTTCAGACCCAATTAGAGGCAGGGTTAAGTACATTTGAAATATTGATCAAAGGGAGCGCTTCCAAGATGGCCGAATAGGAACAGCTCGGTCTGCAGCTTCCAGCAAGACTGACGCAGAAGGTGGGTGATTTCTGCACTTCCAACTGAGTCTTAGCAACCGGTAGACCAGGAGATACCCTCCCGCCTGGCTCGGCAGGTGCCACACCCATAGAGCCTTACTCACTGCTAGTGCAGCAGTCTGAGATAGACCTGTGATGCTACAGCTTGACGGGGGGAGGGGTGTTGGCCATTGCTGAGGCTTGAGTAGCTCACTGTGTAAACAAAGAGGCCTGGAAGTACGAACTGGGCAGAGTCCACCACAGCTCAGTAAGGCCTACTGCCTCTGTAGATTCCACCTCTGGGGGCAGGGCATAGTAGAACAAAATGCAGCAGACAGCTTCTACAGACTTAAATGTCCCTGTCTGACAGCTCTGAAGAGAGCAGTGGTTCTCTCAGCATGGTGTTCGAGCTCTGAGAATGGACAGACTGCCTCCTCAAATGTGTCCCTCAACCTCCTGTAGCTGGACTGGGAAACACCTCCCAGTAGAGGCCGACAGACACTTCAAACATGTGGGTGCCCCTCTGGCGCAAAGCTTCCAGAGGAAGGATGAGGCAGAAATAGTTGCTGTTCTGCAGCCTCTGCAGGTAATACCCAGGCAAACAGGGTCTGGAGAGGACCTCCAGCAAATTCCAACAGACCTGCAGCTGAGGAGTCTGACAGTTAGAAGAAAAACTAACATACAGAAATGGCATCAACATCAATAAAAAGGACATCCACACCAAAACCCCATTTGTAGGTCACCAACATCAGAGACCAAAGGTAGATAAAACCACAAAGATGGGAAGAAACCAGAGCAAAAAAGCTGAAAATTCCAAAAAACAGAGCATCTATTCTCTTCCAAAGGATTGCAGCTCCTCACCAGCAAGGGAACAAAACTAGACAGAGAATGAGTTTGATGATTTGACAGAAGTAGGCTTCAGAAGGTCAGTATTAGCAAATTTCTCCGAGCTAAAGAAGCATGTTCTAACCCATTGCAAGGAAGCTAAAAACGTTTTAAAAAGGTTAGATGAGTGGCTAAAATAAACAGTGTCAAGAACACCTTAAATGACTGGATGGAACTCAAAACCATGGTACGAGAATTTTGTGACACACGCACAAGCTTCAATAGCTGATTCAGTCAAGTATAAGAAAGGATATCAGAAGATCAAATTAATGAAATAAAGCGAGAAGACAAGATTAGAGAAAAAAGAGTGAAAAGAAACGAACAAAGCCTCTAAGAAATATGGGACTATGTGAAAAGACCAAATCTACGTTTGATTGGTGTATCAGAAAGTGACGGGGAGAACGGAACCAAGTTGGAAAACACTCTTCAGGATATTATCCAAGAGAATTTCCCCAAACTAGCAAAGCAGGCCAACATTCAAATTCAGGAAATACAGAGAACACCACAAAAATACTCCTCGAAAAGAGCAACCCCAAGACACATACTTGTCAGATTCACCAAGGTTGAAATGAAGGAAAAAATGTTAAGGGCAGCCAGAGAGAAAGGTCGGCTTCCCCACAAAGGGAAGTCCATCAGACTAACAGTAGATCTCTCAGAAGAAACCCTATAAGCCAGAAGAGAGTGGGGGCCAATATTCAACATACTTAAAGAAAAGAATTTTCAACCCAGAATCTCATATCCAGCCAAACTACGCTTCATACATGAGGGAGAAATAAAATCCTTTACAGACAAGCAAATGCTGAGAGATTCTGTCACCACCAGGCCTGCCTTACAGGAGCTCCTGAAGGAAGCACTAAACATGGAAAGAAACAACTGCTATCAGCCACTGCAAAAACTTGCCAAATGGTAAAGGCCATCGATGCTATGAAGAAGCTGCATCAATTAAAGGGCAAAATAACCAGCTAACATCATAACTGCAGGATCAAATTCACACATAACAATATTAACCTTAAATGTAAATGGGCAAAATGCCCCAATTAAAAGACACTGACAAATTGGATAACGAGTGAAGACCCATTGGTGTGCTGTATTCAGGAGACCCACCTCACGTGCAAAGACGCACATAGGCTCAAAATAAGAGGATGGAAGAAGAACTACCAAGCAAATGGAAAGCAAAAAAAAAAAAAAAGCAGGGGTTGCAATCCTAGCCTCTGATAAAACGGACCTTAAACCAACAAAGATCAAAAAAGACAAGGCCACTACATAATGATAAATGGATCAATTCAACAATTAGAGCTAACTATCCTAAATATATATGCACCCAATACAGGAGCACCCAGATTAATAAAGCAAGTCATTAGAGACCTACAAAGAGACTTAGGCTCCCACACAATAATAATGGGAGGCTTTAACACCCCACTGTCAATATTAGACAGATCAATGAGACAGAAGGTTAACAAGGATATCCAGGACTTGAACTCAACTCTGGACCAAACGGACCTAACAGATATCTACAGAACTCTCCACCCCAAATCAACAGAATATACACCACATTGCACATAGTCTAAAATTGACCACATAATTGGTAGTAAAACACTCCTCAGCAAATGTAAAAGAACAGAAATTTTAACCAACTGTCTCTCAGACCACAGTGCAATCAAATAAGAACTCAGGACTAAGAAAATCACTCAAAACCACACAACTACGTGGAAATTGA